AGGAAAAGTACTTTTTCCTCGTAATCTCCTCGTAAATGTACTAAGGTCTTACGAGGAAAGTGTTTCCTCGTAAGTTTTCGAGGAACTTACGAGGAAATTTGCTTTCCTCGTAAGATCCTAGTAAAGGCTTAGTAAATTTACGAGGAAGAATTTTCCTAGTAAAATTTCCTAGTAAATGCTTTGTTTTCTTGTAGTGAAAGTAAGAACAAGTACTATTTCCTTTTATTTTATTTTTGAACATTACTACTGTATTTCCTTTTATCCAAGGTTGAAAACAAATGACATACATCAAATGTATATTTATTTATTCAAAGGGTTAAACTTATCGAACTAGATTTATAACTACATATAATATAACTAGATTCGCTACAGTGACTTTTTTTCCCGAAGCAGCCACACATTGCATAACCAAGACTCTGAATAATACCAATCTAGATTTATATTACAACTGTATATAAACTACATTTGTTTACTGCTGTTTTTTTTTTTCTGAAAAAGGCTTACTGTTATTTTGCTCATAATCTTATTTGTCTCGCTCGAATCTTCGTATCCAAGAGGTACAGAAATTTTAAAGCTTTTTTTATAATATTTAATTTGAAGTTTTAGTATATTTTCTTTTATATTTTCAAGCCTTCCTGTAAATTACCTAAATTACTTAGCAGTCAACCTCAACTATTTTTTTTTTTTTTTTTTGAAAATTATCAACCTCAACTTTGATAAGAGACAAAAGGCAATGCTTACACAAAAATACATGTTCGCAGTTGATATTTACGACCAGCTGTTTTGTGGAATATGCATGTGCGGATGCACCAAACTTCTTAAAGATGTTGGAGGAATTTTCATTCACTATCTTTGTTTGAGTTTTTATTTCTTTTTATTTTTGTTAGGAATTCTCGATCGTTTGATTGCTTAACTAAATAACACATAGAATTTGATCACCGAGTTCCCGGCCTCTAGCACGGTACGTCTCGGGTGGGAACCGTCTCCCACAACATCCACTATCAATCAAAAGGGTTTACACAAACGCTCTAAGCGCTCTACACAACAAAGAATAAGAGAGATCAAAGAAACTCTATCCCTTAAAGACATGACTCGAACAATGTCTCTCCTTAGTTTCTTCTACTCTTGATCTCTCTCTTGACTTCTCTTTGTATTAGGGTTTTTCTCGGATCTCTCAGATCTCTCTTGAGAAGTAGACGTCCTTCTTTTATGTCAATAACACGCGCTTCTCTTTTCCTTTTTGTACAAGTAACTATCATTCCTTATTAACTCTGATTTTCCTTTTGTAACAGAGTTAACCGACATAGGAACCGCCTTGATCAAGCTTCGTGTACTTAAGCAAAGTTTGGGCTTCATCTAGCTTTGACCCAACTGAACAATATTAATCCAAAGCCCATATTTTCACAATTTTTGCTCAAATGATTGTTTCTTGAACAGTAAATTGTCGTAAAAACACTGAAAAGTATATAATAATAAACATTATTAAAATCTACTCAACGCTAGCAAAAAAAAGTCAATGTGATGATTGATATGTTAAATAAATAATGGCGTGTTTAACTAGAGCTGGAAATTACAAAAAACACAAATTTTTATACATGCATACCTGTATAAAGGCTACAATTTTAAAGTTACAAAACACTACAATTTTAAGAGTATCTCCAATTATACTTTATTTTTACTATAAAATAGAAATTCAAATAACAATGCTTCAAATTATATATTTCATTATTATTATAAAGTAATTATAGCTTTACTCTATAAATAAAATATTTCATTTGTTTTTATTTATCACTTTACTCTATAAATAAAATATTTCATTTGTTTTTATTTATCACTTTATTTTCACTATAAATTACAATAACATTGGATTAAAATTCAATTATATTATAAAACTATTCTGTTTTGCAAACAATAATAAAATAAACTATTTGAATTGGTTTACAGACAGATGTCTTAAACTAGCTAAACCCACAAATGTGTATGAGATCAACCTGCGAACACAATATTATTTATAAGTGTTAAAAGAAGCTATTATTTTTCAATTTTTTATATTCAGTTTGCTAAGTGTTTTCTTTGTAAATTAATTGTAGTCTATAATATAGACTATAATGCTTGTATAAGAACAATGAATTGAAACAACTATTTATTTTTGTGTAAAAGAACTAAGTGGAAAATATATCTTTTAAACTAAATAATTTGTATGCCTAACCATAAATGTTGTGTTTAGCTTTGTTGTACTTGTACCTAAAGGACCTAAGCTAGTTTAGCTTTGTTGTCAAATGTTTTAAAACGGTTAATCAGTTTCTATTCATTTTATTGAGTAATTTTTACACTTAAATCTAGTTTTATATATTGATATTCATCTTTGTTATCATTTAACATGGGCGTTATATTCATTTTTCAAATGTAAATTAACTAGAATAGGTCGTGTAAGGTATAATAATTCAGAAAGGAAGAAGTTTTTTTTTTTGAAAAAGGGAGAAAGGAAGAAGTTGACGATGAGATTGTTGATCTTTTCCTAAGTTAAGAAGACAGGTTTCTTGTTTAGGGTGTGTGACAACATAGGAAGAAAGTATTTTTTTTTTTAGATATATCAAAAATGAAAGTAATTAAGCACTAAACATAATTTGAGCACAAAGATATTGACTGAAGATAGTCAAATACCAAATTATACATTGACATTTACAGCCTCATATATGGCAACACAAGTTACTTTTACTTCAAACGGTAGCAAATGACTTCAATCAAACCGAAGTATTATCAACAATATATGCCTAAAATAAACCCTTTAACTCTTGAACCTATATATCAAACCGAAGCAAAACATTAGCATATACCCATTTGGTATGACATCAAACAGGTCAAAGGAAACCAAACATCAAACTTCTTTCTCTTCATCATCTTAGGTGCGAAGGAGACAACCTAGACATTAAACCGGTTCAAGTAAACCAGCAACTGCAGAACTTTCATTGTTTATGTTGCATGCAATGTGTGATCCTAAACAGAAGCTACAGAGGGTAACTCGTTGGTGCTGGTTTCCAATAAGTCTAAAAGAGTAATCCTTCCACTATTAGTTTTGTCAAGCCTGTCAAACTGGTTACCGATCGGATCAATATCCTTGTCGGTTATCTTCTCCATCTTCTTTAGTTTATAGATCACAAACTCTGCTTTACTGCAAAACCAAGAAGCTAATTAGACCTCAGATAACACATCACAAGCGTAGTACCTAGATAACAAAGACTACAAAGATCCACTAAAATCTAAGCTTATGGACCCGAACCTAAAAGATAAATGCTTTTGTACCTGAGAGTCAACGGATCCAATGATTTAAAGAACTTGAACAAGTATGAAACTACTAATACCAATTTTTAAGAAATCGTTAGACGATAGTTAGACACTTTATATGAGATTATTATTTGATTAGACGGCCATCTAGACCAGTTTTTTAGCTCTTTCACCAATTTTTTTATTTAAAATATTTCAATTCTCTAGACCGATTTTTAGAATACTAACTAATATTGCATCAAACCATAGATTCATTAAAATAAATGAGAAAAATGAGTACCTAACACATCCATTGTGGTCGATATCAGCAGCAAAGAACTGAGAGATAGACATGTTCTCACCAAGAACTCTCTTAGCCCTCTCCCTATTCCTCTTATCAACCCTCATCTCAGCCAAATACAAAAACGCTCTCGCAACAGCCAAAGTAGACACAAGCAACCACATGGCAGCAAGAAGCCTCCCAGGCAAAGTCTTAAACGCCCTGTCTCCATACCCAACCGTAGTAACCGACATAACCGAGAAATAAAACGAATCCAACCAATCAATCTCCTCAATAAAATGCATAATCAAAACCCCAAATCCAAGACACAACATCACAACACCCAAAGCCAACGCAACCTTCATCCTAATCCTCATCCTCCCTTTGACCACATCCATCACATACGACTTCTTCTTCTCCACCCCATCAAAGCTAGCGTTCTTCGCAGCTTCCAACATATAGTTTTCTTGAAGATCAAGAACGTAACTAACCATCGCACTAAGCAATATATCCACGAAACCGAACCCGACGAGGACAAACAAGATCGAAAACATCTTCGTCAAGACCGTATCGGGCGTGATGTCACCGTAACCGATCGTGCACATTGTTACGATACAAAAGTATAAGCCATCAACGATAGGGTGAGTGTGAACCACGGAGTAGCTGTCTCTATTCAGCCAATAGATAAACACACCTAACGAGAGATACACAAGAAGCAGAGCAACAGCTTGTTTCACGATGGACTTTGAGTCTGATCTCTCTGTTTTGAGATCAAACTGGTTAGTTAAGTCGTTGATAGCGACCATCGCGGGAGCTGTTTTGGAGCGGTGGAACCTGTGGTGTGTCTTTCGAGGTGGTATGTTGTTGTTGTGTTCTTGAAGTGTGTGGAGGATGTCGACGGTGGAGGTGTCGGAGAAGGAAGTGTTAGCGGAGGAGGAGGGTGATGAGAGGTTGTGAGATATGGCGTCGATGAGGAGGGAGGAGTCGAGGTGGGAGCGAGGGAATGGGCCGAAGATTAAACGGTTTTTGAACTCTGTGGGAGTCATTGGCATAGGGACCGTGACGTCGTCGTTTTCGGGTAAGGGGAAGAGAGGTGGTGGTTGTGGTGGGTTGGTTCTTGGGGTGCTGATGAGGTATTGGAGTAATGGGTCGATGTCGTTTCCGTCGTTAGCCATCGCCGGAAGAAGCTTTGTTTATGAGAGTTCGAAACTTTCTTGGAAGGGTGTTGTGAAGATGAAAACCCTTTTTTTTTGATGGGGTTTGGTTTATTCTTTGTAGAGAATCGTTCGTAAGTAGTGTGATTGATTATTATATAGAATGATAGATTGGGATGTTTGACAGATTTTAATAACGGGATTAGTTTAATTATGATTGACACGATACTGTGTGTATGTGTTATTGTTTACAGCTTTTTGTATATTTATTTAGATGGTGATTAGATACTTGTGATTATTTGATCAGTGAATCCTGCATCGTTGATAAATTAAATATTTGCACCATAACTTTCCTATTGAATCAGTTTTTGTTTTTTTTCTTTCTCCGACAGGGTGAAATTTTTGATTTCTAATCAAGGCTGCAACTGAATTTTTATTTTGAAAAGTAAAATTAAGGATGGACATTCGGGTTTGGTTCGGATCTATTTGAGTTTTAGATTTTTGGGTTCACAAATTTTAGTCTCATGCGGATATTTCTAAATTTCGGTTCGGGTTCGAATCTTTTCGGGTTTGGTTCGGGTTCGGATAACCCATTTAAATTATTTTTTAAAAAATTAAAATTGATTATATACTTTAAATTTCTATAAATAAAATAATATATTACAAATAATTGAATAACATAAGTCAAAATACCTAAAACTAGGTGTTTTGCTCGCACTTGCGGGCTTAATAATTTTCTAACTAGGATAAGACCTGCGCCTTGCGCAGGGTGAATATATGTAATTAAAATATAAAATTTTAATATTCACAAATTTAAAATTTACATATGATTGTTTTTGTATGTATTTGAAATTTTAGAATTTTGGAATTTTTATATAATTATCTATACGTATGATCAAAAACAATTTTAATTAGAAATGTAAATCAAATCT